AACCTACTAGAAATGTTGAAGAACAAATCTGCAAGAGATTCATCCCCTCGAACACAGCTGCCTTTGTTTGTCAACAACTACGCAGGTTCGAAACACTTGGCCCAAACCTGATGACCATGACGTTCACTTCAGTTTAAACCTGTTTATACCCCAATACAATTATTACAAAGGAGTGTGGACGTTGCTCACGATATCAATCACAGGTTTGTTAGGTTCAGATTTAATTATTTACATGGAAGCTGACATATAGCTGGAACGTTGCTCGTTGCGGACGTACCACAACAAACAAACAAACAAAGTAAACATTGTCAGTGTCAACATAAACATACTTAACTGCTTGCACATGGATCAGAATTATTTATTTACACCGCTTTTAGCAATATTAGCAATATTCCAGCAATATCATAGCGGGGGAACACCAGAAATGGGCTTCACACATTGTACCCATGTCGGGATTCGAACCCGGGTCTTCGGCGTGACGAACAAATGCTTTATCCACTAGGCTACCCCACTGCCCCCAGAATTATTTAGCCTCCATGTTCAATGAGTGCATGTTGTTAAAGACTGCAATCAGCAATATTCCAGATATATCATGGTGGCCTGTCAATACATTGGACAAGGCAAACCAGGGACTTATAACATAGTACTCATATCAAAGTAATTATCATATTAAACCCAGTCCCAGAGCCATCATACCAAACTAGTTGCCTCCTACAACCATCACCAATGGCTGGGGACCGATTCTCACCTCACCTTCCCTAGGCAAGTGAGTTACTGACTATAAAAGTCCAGTTTCCACCCTTGCCGAACTAGGCTAGTATTATGGAGTTACATTTTGGCTGGACTAACGAGTTTATGCATAGTCCAATCAAAATCGCGTAACGAAATCGAAATCCGGTTTGTAAACTGTCGTGCTGATTTCGGTTGATTGCAGGATTTGCAAAGCGTGTGCACCGCCAACTCCTTGTCAACAGATATTTTCCAAATCTTTTCATGATTTTAATCAAGGTGCTCACGTGATTTGATGCACTTCGCGATGTAAGACCCGTTTTATCACAATATAGATCTTGATTATCGATCAGATTGTCTTGTTTGAATTAAATGCAAGTGATAGGCGAGGTGGAATCTGATTGGTCCATAGGAGAGAGTTTAGAAGGGACATAACTCGTAATAACCACTGGTGGCGCTTCGATCGATCCCAGGAATTCCAGCCTAGTTCGGCAAGGGTGGAAACTGGACTTTTAAAGTCAGTTAACTCTCTTGCCTTGGGGAGATGTTCTCACCTGGGTCCTCACAGGGTTCCTGTGTTCCATGACAAGAGCATCTTTTACTGAATACTCCGACACACAATCTAAAGTATTTCTCAAGCACAGGTACTGCAGCCTTACAAAATATGAATCATTTTTCCGTTGTTTTATTGACATGCTGTTGCCATGCTGACTTGGTACAACGCAGTAGTAGTTTGTGGTCAGCCTCTCCACGGGGCGGCTAAGATCACTGACTGCATATACTGACTAATGTAATTATATCTCTTCTAATGCCATGATACAATTAAAACACATCTTATATGCATATTTACACAAAGAGTAAGGAAAAATATAACAGATTAACCTCACATTTGCATTTAATATATTTAACAAACAAATATGATACAGTTTTGACAAAACACATTGACAATCTGGATCAAATTGTATCAACCATAACACGTCATAACAAATCAGTTATAGAAACACAGCCTTCCAATCAGGGCCCAAACGAGAAGCAGCATCAACTCCTCCCTCTACAACAGAGACGTTACTGCTACCATCCTTGTACTGTTGCAGTGCTTAATTTAGACTTTTCATTTCTAAAGTGAGTTAGTTTTATTTCACACTGCTTTGAACAGTGTTTCTGTTAGATCACTGTGTGTCAGCTTAGTGTTGGAGGTTAGCCCGAAGTGACGCTGGTCTTGCACGCTACCACTGCCATGAAGTCCACAAGCTGGGCATGGTGCTGACAAACCAAGACACATAATCAGGGCAAATCTGGGATTGGAAATCATGACCAGAGGCTCCAGGCATGCCTAGGGGACACAACTCTGTACAGCGAATTGTGGCACCATAGACTAGGGAGGGAAAAACAAAATATATGACCAACCAGGAAACAAGGGACCTTATAGGTGAAAAATCACATTTGACTTCTCGTTATGTTCTACAGTACCCTGGGACCACAAAAATACAATTGATAAGCTTTTACAGAGACACATGGCATCAAACATGAGGTCTCATTTTCTGCAAAGTCCCATTTTCAGACTTATGACTGTTTATGTAATAATTGCAGTTTTTAGATAAAATTTCTGATTAATTGAAAGTAGACATGAATGCTGAAATAATGTCTTATATTACATTACGAACTATCGAGAGAAAAATACGATTTTTTTTTACAGGTTGCACACATTGAGATTTTTACAGAAGTAAGGTTACGTCAAACGTCTTTCTTTGTGACATTACAATAGTATCCCAACACCCATAAGATCCCTTTTCTCGTGGTGGGTCACATATATTCTCTTGCAAAATTTATGGTAGATTTTGTAGAAGGAAATATTTTGTTCTGGTATGATAATAATCATGATAATACAAACTTGTTGAGCGCAGTGACTTGGAAACACGCTAGTCCTACCTTCTGAACCAAAATACGTAATGGCCAAGGTATCCATAGGAACAGTCGAAAGGACTCAATGATCCTTAGAAAGGTTTTCCAACAGATATCACTATGAGGATTAAGGACACATGACTTGGAATGAACTAGGTCCTATGTAATAAAACTGACTGTTTGCAAAATAAAACACAACACTTGACAGCAGGAGCAGGTATAGAAGACTGTGGCATGGGTGCAGCAATAAATGTATAGTACTGACATCACCAGTAATAACCAGTGCACCCTCCTCCCCCACCCTAGGAAACTAACTTTGTCCACATAAAGCTCATGATAAGGGTATATTTAGATAAACAACCACAACTCTGTTGTCAGTTCATTACCTGTCCACAGATTTCTACTGACCACTTCAAGCATAATAGCCTATACAATAACAGGGACATCTATCATGTATATGTACATCATGGGGGACGATGATGTCTGGGGGGTAACAAGACTTCACAACTGACGCCAATACTTTAGGCCACAAACATGATGAAATAGATATTTCTCTGCCATTACCAAGTAGGATGACCTTGACCTTTGACTTGACTGATCACTGTGACAAATAAATTCCCAGATCTATTAATATATTGAAAGAGATATACAGCTAGTTTCTGAAGTGAACATATTTTACAGATAAAAACAGTTGATAGATTATAGTTATGAAATATAATATAAAGGAGCCCAGAAACTCTTCATTTTTTAGACACTGCACATGGACAGGGTCAGTGTGGACTAATGAGACTACCCTGGGATGTCAAAGCACTATGGAGTTGATAAACGAAGTGTGGCAGTCTTATCATGTGGATACCAGAACTCAGAACTAGAATGCATAACTACCGGTAATGTCGATATCCAGTATTTGAATGCATAACTAATGTCGATACCCAGTATTTGAATACATAACTAATGTCGATACCCAGTATTTGAATGCATAACTAATGTCAATACCCAGTATTTGAATGCATAACTAATGTCGATACTCAGTACTTAAATGCATAACTAATGTCGATACCCAGTACTTGAATGCATAACTAATGTTGATACCCAGGATTTGAATGCATAACAAATGTTGATACCCAGTACTTGAATGCATAACCAATGTCGATACCCAGTACTTGAATGCATAACTAATGTCGATACCCAGTACTTGAATGCATAACTAATGTCGATACCCAGTAGTTAAATGCATAACTAATGTCGATACCCAGTACTTGAATGCATAACTAATGTCGATACCCAGTACTTGAATGCATAACTAATGTCGATACCCAGTACTTGAATGCACTACCTGAATGCATTACTAACGTTGATAACACCCAAACACCATCAATCTTGACTGATGATGGCTGCACAGATCGAAGCGTCCACAACCTTGCTATCATCACTAACATGACCAGATGCAACAGATATCTACACAGCAATGAATATGTGGATTCTTTGTACAGGATGTAACAAAGCAGTAAAAAACAGAAAGCAAACAAACAACACTGTGAAACATCATAGATGCATAATTACAATGAAAATAAACATGGCTAATGTTCCAACTCACTTCACATGATACTTTTACTTAAACAAGTCGCACCCCCTCCGTAGTTTTAGCTCTGGGCTAAAAAACAAGATTTGTTTTCTTAATGGCCCAAGGGCTCAAACTAAGAAACCAACTTCAAGTGATCCACCCTCTGCCCAAGAAGATGTAAGGCTGTTAGCGCAGTGAGAGGCTTCAATATCTATAAGACACATTGATCTCCTCAGTTGTATTTCATAATTTTTAGATGTTTTAGTGGCATGTTAGTGTTTTATTGAACTTTTGAATTTGAAAAGACCTGATTAATAAAAATTGAATGTTTAGGTGTGCTTCGAAATGTTCAATATTTAAGCCCAGGGCTTCATTTTGAATGAGATATTAGGTCCTAAAAGAGGACGAAACCTGTTAATCAGGTCAAGGATATATAAACCAGCGGTTGATAACACGAGCACGTCACAGGTGTTTCATGACACAGTCCGACATCACAAACTTAACTCCCCCATCCCCACTGAAGTCTTTACAGGCACCGGGCACCAGGGCACCGGGCACCAGGGCACCGGGCACCGACATGGGAGATCTTAACAAAAGCCTTACATAAAAGTAAGAGAATCAAGTCTGCCATGATATACTTGGATGATGACATCTGGTGAGTGAGTGAGTTGGGTTTAATGCCGCTTTTAACACTATTCCAGTTATATCACGGCTTAATGTGGGAGGAAAGCCGGAAGTGATGCAGGTCTCAGACGTTTACCACTTCGGTGAAACCCACGAGCACGGGTATGGTGCTGACAAACCTAGAAACATAATCGGGACGAACAGGGATTCGAACCCACAATCATAGGTTTCTGGTGTGCCCAAGGGACGCAACTCTGCACAGCGAATCGCGGCACCTTAGATGACTGGGCCAACCGTGCCCCCGATGACATCTGGGAAAAAGTTCAGCTGAACAGGATGTGAGGTCAAGCGTCGATGTACATGATTCATGAAAATGTTCCAGATTGTATACAAACTTTTAGAAAATCAACTTTGAATGAAAATTGTCAAGTTCATTCCACCTTTCATTATTCCTCATCCTATTTGCAAAAGGATGTCTAGACTTACAAAACACAGATGATTTGATGAATATTACCCAGCTTTGAATCTGGGCCAAGCATAATTGGATGAGATCTATGCAGAATGAATGATTGCAGATTATCAAGTGAATATACATTTGTAACATGTTCAAGGTTACGTTCGAGTTTGCTTGAGTTTGCTTGACCTTCACTCAAAGATTCTTATATGTTTCTCATTTGGCATATAAATCTGCTTCTTTGGCATAAGATTAGAGATGGACGATTTGAATGAATTCCACAATCACTGCACTGTTATCTGTGAAGGTATAAAATGTTGGAGAGGAAAACACAGTGATAAAACAAAAAGTTAAAACATCTCATGAAAAATGTCAATGAAGACTGGGATCATTCCAATCAGATCATCCAATATGATACCTCTCTGTATGAAGATCTGACACCTCCACAGAATGTCCTGAGTGACCTTTGACCCCCATGAAGTGTTCATGAGCCAATCACATGTCAGCTTTCTAGAATGATTTGGCTTTATTTCCTTGCCACATTAATTTGGACATTTTTATTTGTACACAAGAAAACCCACACAGAACATAAACAATCCTTCGATGG